CGGGGTACTTAATTTTAAACTTGAGGTACACCGATTCGGCTTTATGGCGTGGCAATTGATTAATAAGTAAATTAATTAATCACGTGGACTACTCTGCCTCACCCCCTTAGCAACTGAGAGTCTGTAATTAGTCTCCGAATTAGCACCAAACTGTGTTCTGAAGATAAAAATAAGGTCGACTTCCGTAAACATATTCAGTGGACATTCCAGAGCGTTTATTCAGATTTCTCTGCCCAAAATTTTCTCCACGCTCTCAATTTTTCATACTTTTCACCCTCCCCCTTTCGTGACTCCCTCATCTTCTGAGTTTTAATTACCCGAAGCATCTGTGAGTCTGTGTGTCATAAAAAGGGGCGGATGGAAGGGGGTTGGGATAGCAGCAGGGTTGCCAGATGAAGTAGGTTGAGTAGTACCCCATCAACGATGATGACATGCAATCTGGCAACATGCTGGTTCAGAATGGGACGTATCAGCGTCTGCATAATGCGAGAGAATTAGAAGAGAAAAATCATTGCAACACACGGAAGGTCGTTAGCCAAAACAGAGATAGAGAGAGATGGGCCATAGGTTTGCATACGTGACGGCTGGGNCACACACATTAACCAGTGACATAATGAAAATATACACATGGGTGTAGGAGATATAAATTTTGTGTGCGGTAGAAGGAAAGATCAAACAAAATCGGAGCCAGTTGTGACACGCCAAAAGAAAGTTTTGGGGGGAAACTGTCCATTAACGTTTCGTCTAACGGGGGGGAAAAGCAAAGACAGGACGTGCGGACTGTCAAAGGCACAATTATAAATTTTTTTACGTTGTTGGGGTTGGGGAGGTGTGTTCCAAATTTGCAAGGGAGTTAGAAAATTTGTTTACTTACGTTTTAGCCGTTAAAAGACTGATTTTACTTATTGTTAAGGAATTTAAGATAGAACATTGTCACGATTTACGTATGTGTGTGACTATAGACGGGGTTCGGATTGGTAAATGGATTTATTCACCACTTAAGAAGTCTTAACTACAAATAGCTATCAATACTATCGCTGATTTCCGCACTTTACAAATTACTACACGCTAAGTCCTCTCCAGCCTGCAGTGTCTTCACTAGTCGTTACTTGATAACAGCTCTCAACAATGGCGATTCTTCAGTTTTTGTGCTCACGTCGTTATTGTCCCTTGAATATCCCGCAACTCGTAATTCCACTTATTCATAGCGCCATCTCTTCTCAACTGACTGCTTCGCCCCAGTTATCTTCCTTATAACCCCTTTGCACGGACCGAATATAAAACACCTTTTCCAACAATAACTCTGTTGTTGCTTGTGTATTCGTTGCCGCGGGAACGTGTTTAGCAATCCGTTGCTTAGAAGCGACTGTTGTTTATTCGTCTGTCTCGCAGTCATTGCGTAGCAACGGTTCTACACGCTACAATATATTTTTAAATAATTTTAATTTTTAATTTGATTTATTTCCGTTTTATCCAATTTGGATTTCTTTAATCCGGGGCGAGGTGAGATACTTGACTTCCCCCCTCCCCACCCTGTCATTGCCAATGGTGAAGTAATAAATATAATGTGTGAGAGGAGGCATACATGCTGGGATTAAATCTACAGTAAAACTCGTAAAGTTGGTCACACTGTTAAGTCGGATCTCTGCCATATTTGGCCAGATTTTTATGAGACCGATAAAATCATTAACATGCACGTGATACGCTTCTTTTTAACTTGGCCGTCTGTCTTTATCGTATCTTGCCCACCGGCTCAGTTTGTATAGCTACGGGCTGGACGGCCAGAGTTCGATTCCCGACGGGCAAAACACTTTTCTCTATTACACGGCGTCCATACCATCTCTGGAGCCCATCCAGCCTCTTACCCAATGGGTACCATAGGCTCTTTGCCCGGGAGTAAAGTTGCCGGCGCGTGAAGCTGACCTCTCCATCTAGAGCCGAGGTCAAGAAGGTTGGAGCTGTATTGCACCCCCCCTCATACGTCTTCATGGCGTGGTTATTGATTCATTAGGCACGGGAACAACATAACCTTTTACCTTCCTACAGTTTATGCTGCTCTTCTGTCCATATTTCAGTATTTCTATGTTGGCCACGCCGATCACATTGGCCGCGCGGTCTAAAGCATGAACAGTTTTCTCCCACTCGAAAACTGGAGTCGTGTGTTCGAATCCCACTCGAGGCATGGACATCTGTGTGCGTTGTGTTGTTCTGTGTAGGTAGCATCCCTGCGACGGGCTGATCCCCCGTCCAAGGAGTCTAACCGAGTGTATATAGAATTAAGAAACTGAAGAGTGGCGAAGGCCAAACAAAGTGCTGTAGAGCCATAGATATATAGATGTTGGCCACACTGAAGTGTTACAGATTTTTGTACCAGCCTGTGCAAATCAAAATTTCGCGACCCATCTTCAGGTTCCATGCGTCTGCTGAAAACCCTCTCTCACCCTTTCCTGTCGATCGATTGATCGATTAAAATTCAATCGTTCTAGATCCATTACAATGATATTGTTTATAGTCGAACCACAGTTATGAGCTGGAAAGAGAAGACAGTAAAATGTTTCGAACGCTTAGCGTGAAAAACGATATACAGGGTGATCTATTTATCGACGTTTCTTCTAACTCAGAATATGTAGCGTCTAATTGCTTCAAAATGATGAATAATGAATTCGAATGCATGTGGAAGAGAAACAGTCGTGGCCTGTTTCAGGACATCCCAGAATTCTGCCCAAATACATTCACCAGACGTCGCCTGGGTCAACTTCTGTCGTATTTTGTCGAAAAAGAAACTGAATACAGTTGTGTATTATGTTGTCAATATAGAGAATTGGGACATTTTGTCTTCTGCATGCCAAACACGTGTTTAAGTTGGTTCTTTTGGTGGAACAATAGGTGACCGACATTAACGGGTTTCTCTGCATTCGACATTTGCCACGAATTTTTAGAACTGCATTAGACGCTGAATTTACATCTGCTTATATTTGCTCCTCCATGTTTTTGGGCAGCATTCGCTGCTCCAGTTATTTGCCTTGCTGTAGTTGTGAGAGCATTTTGTTCCCTGAGATAAATAGTCGAACCCTCTACGTACTCTGTCCTCGTCGGATTGAATTTCCAATTAAGAGCAGTGCAGTCTTCACTTGCCGTATTTACGTAACTTAAAGATCCTGTTATATTCTCTTCTGCCGTTGCTCGGAGGGAATTCTTATAAACACTTCGTTTACATTCAGGTACACCTGGCAACGTAGGATGTTATCCAGTGGCGTGCCATGACGAGTTTCGGAGTTACATTTGTTAGGTTATGTTAGCTACTTTGACGCATATGAAACGTTGTATGATGAAAATTTAAATCGTTTTATAACACGGGCTAAAATTCATAGTAGATCTATAGCTGTGATCATTTATACATACTGTACTTAAATCTTTGAATTGATTTTATGCTGAAATTTTAAATGCGATGCTCTAAATGGAATGCCATTGGGTTAAGGGCTAAATGTTAATTTATTTTCTGCATTTTGGTGTATTTATTTACAGCTTCTGAGTGTCCCGTTTCTTGTCGCTACAGTATGATCCACAGTAATGCCGCGCCATAGCTCAAGCGGTTAGTCGCTGGCTTCCCACCGCGGCGGCTCGGGTTCCATCCCGGGTCTGGTCAAGTGGGATTTGTGGTGGACAAAGTGGCGCTTGGGCGGCTTTTCTCCGAGTACTTCGGTTTCCCCTGCCAATCTTCATTCCACCAAATTCTCCATCATAATCACCCGGGGGCAGGCTACAATAGGCCAATCAGTGGCCGCCGTGCCGAGTGGACCCAGTTGGACTCCCCCCCCCCACTAAGCGAATTTAAAAAATGATCCACAATAAATATTAGTTCACCCAACCTCCTATCCACTGGGTGCCGGGTGTAAAGCGGCCGGGGCATGAAACTGACCATCACCTCCAGCTAGTACCGAGGTCAAGAAAATGTGGATGTGTACATCCAGTCCCACATACGCCTTCATGGCGTAGTGCTTAATTAGTTAAGCATAGGGACAACTTTACCCTTCTATCGTGATAATGAATCTGTTTTCACAAAGCTACATTAATAAACAGTATTTGATTAAGGCGCGCGCATGGGAAAAAACCTTACGTGTATATTATAGCGAAGAACTCTTGCCCAAAAACCTGTTTCGGTACCTGAAAATGTACTCTTCCCTAGAGTGCTGTATTGGGGGTGTCGGATCAGTTGTGGTCTTTCGTATGGCCGTGCGCAGTTTGGTCCGAGACGTCACACAGTATGATCCAAAAACATTTATCCTCGTTGTGGTCCCTTTCAGCAACCGTTTGTTATTTATTATTCGATAATCAGTGGGCGTTTTACTCCTTTTCAGAATATGTAACCGTTTTCTCATAGGATATACTGTACGGATGTTTTCTGAATACGGGCAAGAACTCTACCATCGCCTCCACTTGTTTTTGCCGATACGTCTACTCCTGTCTACTTCCCTCTGCCACGGAAACCGTTTCACTACTTCTCGGTCATGCTGTACCAGCAACAGTCTTGTGTTCCTCGACATGGCCACTCTCAACTGAATTCTCAGTTGATTTGGTCGAGTCCACTGAGATAATGATTTTAGGTTGTGTTTGGGATACTCAAACTATAGGGGCCCATACACGTACGAGTCTGGCTCGCGAGTCCGACTCGGCTAGGGTTCCAATGAGCCAAACTCGTCCGTGTGTGTGTCGCAAAGTTTGGAGTCAGCTCATGCGATTGTGGCGAAATTAATCCGAGTCAAGCTCGCTGAGCCAGACTCGTACGTGTATGGGCCCCTTAAAGGGTTGTGCTCCCTGCCACGAAGAAGCTGCCCCCACTGCTCTTCCACTTCTTGCTGCAGTTCTCCTCACTACCCCTTGAGCGCAACCCAGAGACCATGTCAGCTAACTCAGCCTGTACACCATTCTGCCTATGGCGGCAGGGGCACATAATGTCGAACAAAAACAGTTTTAGTAACTATTTTTTGTTTGTTTTGCAGATCCTCCAGAGATCATCGTGCGACCTGTTGATCAGCAAGTGAAGAATGGAGGCATTGCAGCGTTCTACTGTCAGGCGAGGGGAGATCCTTCGCCCGTCCTTCAGTGGCGGAAGAATGGGAAGAGAGTCTCTGGTACACAGTCTCGCTATTTAGTTCATGAATACCCGATGGGAGGCGCTCTACTTCGCATAGAACCTGTGCGCGCGCAGCGTGATGAGGCCCAATACGAATGCGTCGCAGAAAATGGAGTGGGGGATGCTGTCGCCGCTGATGCCATGCTGACAGTCTACGACAGTAAGTACTGAGAATTTATATGTATTAATTTCTGTGCATGAAGACGTTTGGCAACTGCGTACTCGTAACAAAATAAAGATGTAACTTAAATAACATGCTAGCTTTGCTGTGTAGCGAAGAAGACTGTACTGGGTAGAGGCATTCTAATCTACAGGTGGTTTCACCCACTTCTGCAGTGAACACATTATTTCACATTAGTTACGGAGTTCACATCTATATTTCTATTGCATCCAAATGTCTTTTTGCCCCTTTGCATTTTCTTCATGTTTATGTTCGTATTGTTACGTACAGTTTACTATTAAGAACACGCACAGAGCTGAATGTGAACCCATGAATGTCCTTACTCTTGCTGCCAACGATGTGGAGTAGTACCGGAGATTCAACCTAAGCCGATGACCGAGTATTGTGTGACTTGTTAGGATACCGTGAAGATGTGTCTTCAGTAAAACTTCTCAGCCCCACCTGTACACCTTCCTCGCTTTTTTGAAGTACGCATTAACCCTACAAGTGCCAAGTGCTCGTGGCTTCGGTTACTTAAACTCTAGCACAACGTCAAGAAACATCTAGAAGGAATCCTTGCCTACGTTTGAGGTTGTTGGGGTCGTTACATATACATCATCATCCCTTGAAGGAAAGGGAGCTTTGACAACATAAAATGTCAACTTGTCACTTCAGGAATTATACTTGGCACTTTTAGGCTTAAAGTGTTTACATTTGTCTCCTTAAGTTTTTAATCATAAGGGCAATGTTCGGAATTTGTTGACTTGCAAATTACTTTGGTTTCTTGCCGCAAGTAGAACAATATTAACCTCAATCATAGTACCCCTCTGAAACTTTTAAAGCCCCAAGCACGAGAGAGGCATGAAAGGGCGGTATGCAGAAGAGTAAGTGAAGGAGAAAGTCATGGGAGAAATGAATGACACTTTCTTTCGTTGCTGAAGTGGGGGGTGTGGGGTCGGGGGAAGAGGAACAGAGTCATTTGTTAGAAGTTTTCCCAGGCTCCATCCTCTCGTCCTTCTGGTAAGGACAGTGTGAAAGTGAAGACATTAGAATGGTTAGAAGCAGATTTGAGACGATGCCGCGGAATTTTGGTTTTTAATTTGTAAAGACAATTTGTGAATATATGTTTGGGGGGTCTGCATTAGAAGCGCACGGTAACACCCTGTATCTTGAGGACAAATTCATAATTCTACCAGCCGACGCCCAATAATCTGGACACTGAAAACTGAAGTAATGTAAACTTGTCCCTGTGTTTAATTAGATAATCATCACGGAGTGAGACGTGCGGGGCAATGGAGGTAAAGCTCCACCATTCTTGAGCTCGTCACTGGATGGAGATGAGTGTTCAATTTCATGCCCCTGCCACTTTATGCCCGGGGAAAGAAGCCCAGTAGCCACTGGATAGGAGGCCCTGTGCACCCCAGAATCGGTTTGAAAGCTGTTGAGTAAAGAAAGATCTCTTGCCTCAGCCATGAATCGAACACTGACCATCCAACTCCGCAGAAAACGTCTTTAAATAATCCACACAGACTCGCATTTCCACATTCGTATGTTCCAATGTTGTGTTCCCAGTATAATAATGTATGAATGCGCAATTGGTTGTGTTAAACAGAGACTGAACCTCGCCCCAGGGAGTTTGTGGCTGTTGGTATGATTACTAGAGGAACAGTAAGTTCAGGGCTCCCAGTCTTAACATCTCATCCCTTGCTCCGAGGCATTCAGTGGATAAGGTAGGCAGCCGCCGGTAAAGTCATTGTATGTTCACATTAGCGCAGTACATTGCTCTTCAGAACATTGGAACTTAATGCTAAGGCGAGAAATTGAAGTGTAACTAACTCCGTTGACCTGAACTCTTCTTGAGAAGCCGCCAGTTGCTCAGCTATTCAAGAATTTCCCAACATTTTATGGAACCCGAAAGGTTCATTACCGTGTTCATAGAACCCTTACCCTGGTCTCTATCCTGAGCCATATCAATCCATGATACCCCATCCCCCTTTTCTGAAATCCATTTTAATATTGTCACGTGTATAATGTGTGATTATAGACGGGGTTTGAATTGCTAAATTGATTTAGTGACCACTTATATACACAACTCGGAACTACAAGAAATTACAGCATCACAATTCACAAATCACCACAGCACGCTCTAAGCATTTTCCAGCCTGTTGTGTCTTTGCCAGCCGTTCCCTGACAGCGGCTTCTAGCAGTGCAGATTCTATAGCTTCTGTGCTCACGCCGCTTCCCGCTGTATAATAGTACTCACAACTGAACTCATTAGTCCAACTATCCTGGCTATTACATCTTGGCACGGACCACATAGAAAACACCCCGTTTCCAGCAGCAGCTCTATTGTTGTGTCCGTATTCCTTGCAGCGGGAACGTGTTTAGCGTGCCGTTGCCCAGAATCGCTTAGGAAAGGCTCTGTACGCCACAGTATTATCCTTCCATGAATGTCTTGGTTACCCGGAATAGCTCAATCAGTACAGAGACTATACTCCGGGCTGGAAACCCGAGGAATGAGGGCAGTGAATCTCACAAAACTAATTGACGAATCCATTATGTGCGGAATGTCGAGTGTGATTAGGTTTGCAACATTAAATATAACGCAAGGAACATATCCCATGACGTCAGAACTGTAAGAGTTTTTATTTTGTGCATATCTTAGACGTAAGTCGCTCGTTAACTTCGATATTTATCGATACGAGAAATAGTCAAAACAAAAGTTAGATAAAAAATTAACCGCATTTTGTTTCCAATGCTCTTTTTACCGTAATTATTACGTTTTATTGAATAATTAGACGACAGCAAGTTTTTCAAATCTGACGGTAACAAGACGATTGCACGAGAATTGTTTTATCTGTGCATACATTTCCTAATTTATTTAAATGTGGCATATTTTCCCTATTTTTGGTGCGAATACACCCCCCTCCTCCTCCCATTTTTTAAAAAACAAATTTGGTACAGTACAGGCTTACTGTGTTACAGTGCTCATTGCTAATGTGTTTTATTCCGAATTAATTACAAACATGCCGTCACACTGCCGTAATTGTATGCCCAGTAAATAGGATATCGCCCTATCGTATGAGCCTGTTGATGTTATGGACGCTTCGCTTCACGAACCCCACAATCCAATCACAACATTCAACACTGAAAAAAATATATACGGTAAGGTTTTTTAACAAAAATATTTTCCATGAAAATTATTAATTTCTGTAGCTCGAAGTTCCTGGCTACAGATCCAGAGGTCCCGGGTTAGATTCTCGGCGCTACAAGATTTCCTGAGAAGTATGTCTGGAACGGAGTTCACTCAATCGCCTTAAGATAATAGAGGAGCTATTTCAATGAAATAGCGGCTCCGGTCTAGAAAACCGAAAGTAACGGCCGTGGGGATCGGTTGTTCTGACCACGTGACACCCTCGATCCGCAAAAGTTGGCAGTGACTTCGCCGACAAGCGGTGGTCGCTCGGTCGGTATAATTCTTTTGCGGACTACAGGACACGGAGTTTTCTTTTACTATTTTTGGCAGATTCAACTACTGACTATATTAGTAGCGCCTTCTTTTAGCACCTGCATCGCTCTATCGGGGCACTGTGTTATCCCATAGACGGTTTCTTGGGTGTTCGTCGCAATGCGAGTTGAGGTTGTGCGCTTCTGGGTTACGATGTCGTGTTCCTATTGGCCGGGACCGAGGCCCGTCCCCCTCCCCACACTTCCATGTATGGGCGTCAGTCTTCCTTGCAGTCTGACGACATAACCTAACCTCACCTCGCTCCAACCTTAAGTATCTCAGATAGTGTGCGTGTGTTCATTGGATATGTATCATAAACCATTTTGAATTGTTTCATTTTGGTCCGTTACACTATCAATCACCAACTACCAATAGAACTTCCGTTCCGTTAAACCACTTTAAGTCATATATTGTAGTGCTTGATACAATTGGATTCTTTTGTGTTTCTGTATAACTTGGGTATGCTGTTTCGAGTACTAATACAAAGGGATTCTACAGGACTGCTTTCGTATTCGGCAGATGGCGTGTTGGTTAAGGTATAAACAAGTTATATATTATGTTTGAATTGAAACTAAATAACATTGCGTAATCTGTTTCCATTACGGTATGAAATTAATGATTTTAATTTCGTAAATGGAAAAGAGATTTGTACTCATGTTCTGTGAGAATATTACGTGGAATAGCAGCAACAAAAAGTCAGCCACTCCTATTGGTTATGCAACCGTTCCCGTTATTATTCACGTTCGACTCAACATTTCAATTTTTGTTTTCCTCATTCGAATCACAATATAAAGGGTGCCCGAAACTTCAGTTCCCGGGGAGCTTCCTGTAACATCGGAGCTCTAGAATTGTACTCAGAAGTGCTGAGATACAATTTCAATTTAGGTCGGCTGCCCTAATTTATATGGCGATATCCATGTTAGGTGGGTCCCTGTCACCGCGGCATGGCGCGCCCTCGGGTTGCGGATGGAGGAGACGTCCTTCAAAATTGAGGGTAGCTGCGAATATATTGAATAGGCAGTCGCGGATAGCCGACAAGGGGTGGTACTCCAGCTTGGGGTTTGGGCGTTGTCCTTATAACTCACCGTGAAAAATAAGCTTGTTACGAAAGATCACAAAAAGCCTCGGACGTGGACGGATTCTGTAGCATGAATGTAGGATATTCGTGGGAAAGCCAGAGGGAAAGAGACCAATAGGAAGACCAAGACGCAGGTCGTGGACGATATTAAAATGGATCTTAGAGATGTAGGATGAGTTAGTATGGAGTGGATCGATCTGGCTCAGGGTAGGGACCAGTGGAGGGCTCTTGTGAACACGGTAATGAACATTCGGGTTCTATAAAACGCTGGGAATTTCCTGAGTAGCTGCAGAATTGGCTTACCTTATAATAAGTTTTATCTTTTATTATTATTATCTGTGTGCGCAATCCTTCCACAGACAGTAACACCGTGTCCAGCAACTTAATTAAGCACCAGCCGGTAGGATCTTAATT